CTCATTAGATCATATATATATATAATTTTTCCTTATTTTAAATTTTCATTACATTCTCTCCAAATTATTATATTATTTTCCTTTATTGAAAATTGAAATACTTTGAATGTATTTCTCTATTTCAAAATTCACTTGAAACATAATTTTACTCTTTAAAATATAGAGTATTTTATGTTTAAAGTGTGACGTTCTAACTAGTTTAAGAATTCAACTCTTATTTAGGAAATTGAATTTATGTACCTTCCGTTTGATAAATAGAGGTGTAAAATTACACCCTCGAATTGAGGGCAAAGGAAGAATATTTTATTCATAGGAAAACAAAGGAAAAAAAGGAGAAATGATAAGAACAAGAGAATAGAACAAAGGGAGTCTGTCATCTCGACATGGTCACGCCCACAAGTCACGTGATGGAACCTTGTTAACGCCGGAGAATGTGGTTCAGTTTTCATATCCACTCCCAGTCTCTTGACGGTCGCCTCGACAGCCCTCTGTGGGGTAGGGGTGGCGTGGACCAGGAATATTTGGACACGGAGAGGGAATATTAATGGTGTTGACGAAGACCAACTAACACAAATTTTGAAGGAGGGGATGCTTTGGCCAGCTACTCAAATCCTTTTCCATGATAAAAATTTCTGATAAAATAAAAAAGTAGCAACGAATTTTAAAAGATAATATGATTCATCAACGTAGAGAGGAACTCAGTTCCTCTTTCCAATATTCTTTGAGTACACAGTACTCCTTTTGTTCTCTCGGAAGCACAATCAATTCCTCCATTAATCTCTCTCTCTCTCTCTTTCTCTCTGTGTGCTGAAGAAAAAAAGCCTGTGATGCTTCTGCATCCTTAAATACATATATCCCACTTTTCACTTACTTTTCTTGATAGCTTCATCCGAAAATTCTGTCCACTCACAGTTTTTTCCTCGTGTTTTATGAATCTGACTAGTTTTAGTAGCTTCTGCAACTCTCTTCAAGTCTCTGTTCAACTTCTTTCAGTTCTCTATTCAAACCCTAGACCTATTCTACTAGATAGGTATCTCTCTCTAGATATGCTAGAGAACCATGCAAATAATAAAGTACTCATGAGATAATAATCACAGTTCACTCTACTTTTTTCTCTCCTCCTTTCTCTCTTTTCAAAGAAACTTTCCCTATTTGTCTCAGTTTCGTAACATAATGTTGTTGAGCACAAACCAAATCAGAAGCACAGATTCCACCATGCCTGATCTGTCTCTGCAGATCAGCCCTCCATCGATATCAAACAGTGAATCCAAGTATGATCATGGGCTGATGAAAGTACCTGGCTGCAATACTGAGGGGAGCTCTCCTAATGATTCGGCCAGCAGTGGAAGCGATTTGACCCATGAAAATGGTATCTTTCACCCAGAAAAGTATTTTAACCATCCACCTGTTGAACCTAGTTTGAGTCTTGGATTGGATACGGCGGGGTTGAATCCTGTTCCGGTTCATATACCAAAGCAATTCCAACATTATCAGACTCATTTATATGGGATTGTTGGGATGCGAGAGTTCAAAAGAAGTTCGAGAACGATTAATGGAGTTAGGAGAAGTGTTAGAGCTCCTAGAATGAGATGGACTTCAACTCTTCACGCTCATTTCGTGCACGCAGTTCAGCTTCTTGGTGGCCATGAAAGTATGTCAAAATAATATGAGCTTAATTTCAAATACTTTCATTATCTTCTTCAATATTTACAGTTTACAATATCGTACTTTTACTTCTTTAACGGATTATAAAATTATTAAGAAGAAATAGGTTTGATAGAGTTTTGTATTCCTCTGCAAATTTTACAGGAGCAACACCAAAATCAGTTCTTGAGTTGATGAATGTGAAGGATCTAACCCTAGCTCATGTGAAGAGTCATTTGCAGGTGGGGTACTTATCGTGTTCAATCATTTCTTTCTTAAAGTATATAAATCAACTGATATATCATACTTTTTCCATTACCATTTACCAAAAGTCCATTTCAGAACAGTGAAAATTCTTTCATTCGTACAGTAATTGGCTAATGATTTTCTGAGATATAAAATAATCATATGATAAAAGTGAAAATTCCCTTATCTTGATTCCAAATACTACTTAGCAGTGTGAACTGTGAAGTGGGGAGTTTGAGAGTACAGTGGGGTTAGGACAAAAGGGCATCACTTATTGGGGGCAACCTTGGATTTTTGTTTTAACAGTCTTTTTCTTATTGGTGCTTCCATGCAGATGTATAGAACAGTGAAGAGCACTGGGAAAGGAACAGGTATGTATTTCAAGGACCCATTTTCCATTACTCTTTAGTTAATAATTTAACGACGACAAAATTTTGCATCAATTCATGAAGTTTGAAAAGGTAAATGCATTGATTTGATGACTACAATTAAATGCAGGTGAAGGACAGACACATATGGGACTGAAACACTGCTCGAAAGGGATAGAAGTTGAAGGCTTATCTTCTGAAAATTCTGAGAAGTGAGTGCATTTCTGCAGTTTCATGTCTCTGTTTGTCAAGATGTGCATGCATTCATTTACCATCAATCCTCACAAATTGGAATGCTATTGTGGACATACATTAAGTCCCCTTTTTATGTCTATTAAAAAGATTTTTTTTTTCATTTTTTTTAAAAGAAAAATGAGTTTTATAAATAGTGATTTTATGGAAAATGTGTGATTAAAAAATACAGAAAAGTTTTGGATTTATATAAAAAATATTTTATTGTGAAAATGTGTGATTAAAAATGAGTTTTTAAAAAATGGGTTTTTAAAGAATGGCAGACAAACATGGGTTAAAGTGTCGATTCGAAGAGTCAAAAAAAAAAATTTAATGCTAAAATCGTTTTAACAAAAGTAGAAAGAAATGTACGAATGTGTTTACTATTAATTTTGTTCCCAACACAAGTAAAAAAAGGAGAAAAAAAATTAATTATCTTAATTTAGTCCCTATTTGATTCAGTTTTAAAAAATTAATTCATCGTTTTTCAGTCATACATCCCATCAACTTTTATTAAAATCTATTAATTTTTTTAAAAATATGAACTAAGCAGAGACCTAGGAATAGTCACTTCTCAAAACATAAAAGATTTCACTTATAAAATGCAAATTAGTCTTCATATATTGGAAATGTAAAAAGTCTAAAAGAATATGTAATGTGTCTATTACCTAATATTTCGAAATTTTTCTTCTATTGCTCGTGGGTAATGGGAGTACTGGCTTGGAGTTTTCGTGTACATTGATGATGTTTGAAGATAATATTTTCAAGGCCCTTTAAAAAGTCAAAGTGTTGGCTCAAATCTCAATAATAATGTACAATAACACATGTTTGATTAGGGTGCTATTTGGCGCAATTTAGGGGCTTATTCTATGACCATAGTTGGAAATGTATTCTATGTCGAATGTCAGTAAACGTTGGCTGGTCTTCTTTGACTTCATTCATGGACGGCTAAGGATTCTATCTTCGAGAACAGAAACATAGAACACTAGTTCCTACCACAATAACTGAATGTTTCTTCTCTGGTTTGTGAAAGACATTTTTTTAGATTCAAAGAATTTGGAGTTGAAAATAAGTTGAAAAAAATGAATTTTGATAAATCTGTACCAACCAGGAGCTTCATTCCGAGTTATCTTCTTTTTCACTGTGTTTTTCTCTATTTCATTATTTTCTTGCTTTTTCCTTTCTCAAACAACAGAGCTTCACCGGCATCTTCTTCCCATGGGCACTTGAGATGCTTGTATGATGGAGCTAATATGACAAAGGTACGGTTGACTTAACCATAAGTCTCGACTCATGTTTATATTTATATGAAATTGTAGAGAAAATTGATCTTTGATTTGTGGAATCCGATCGGTTTATCAATCTAACCGAAATTGATCACTTCAATTAACGACCCAAGAACCACAATTATTTGCCCACACTCCGATTGCTATGGTTTCACCCATAAATGACACAAAGTAATGGTGTTATTACAGCCACCAAGACAAAATGAAGAAGAAAACCGAATGAAAGAGGCAATGGAAGAAGGAGCCGATTTCTCTCTCTTTTTTTTTTTTTTTAAAAAAAGAAGGGAATAACACACACGTGAACATCACAAAAATGGGCGGCAAATATATGTAGTACATTAGGAATAAAGAGAAAACGCCCAAGTCCTAATCAATATATAGGCCAACACTTATAAGACATCCAAGAAGTGGGGAAATGAGCCACGACACCTCTAACTAAATCAAGCTACATCCAATAGCCCAAATAGTTCTAGGTTTAGGTCATTCCACTGAGGTGTCAATATTTCAATTCAGTCATTTTGTCGATACTAACTGAATAATTTCAATTTAACATCATTGCTCAGGATTTATTGGGTATCAAATTCAATAACAATCAATTTGCAAGCAATCAAAAACACATAGTTAATACTTGTATAATTAACATAACCACTAAATTGGGATCACATACCCTACCTCATGTTACGGAACCGAAACACATACCATACCTGCTCCATGTACTCATCAGGGCTAAGGTCACAAACAAATACTCAAGTAGAAATAGTTAATGACAATGAACAATAAAGATCAAATAATAATGCGATGAAAATAAAATATAGGATAATCTACAGATCTTTCCAAACTCCATTCATACAGAACAACATATTAATACTAAGTCATTCAATCAAACGGTTAAAACACATATGTAACAAATAGATAAACGACCTCACGAAAAGATCTTACCACACTTATCTTATCACATTCCGTATTGTTCACACCTCGAGAACACATATCTACTCTCATCGCCCAACATGCTCACTAGATTGATCACTCAACTCATATCTAACTGGTAAATATTTATAGATCCTCAGTTCTTGGAATAATCCTCCATCACTACATCACTTATCCCAATCTAAGTGGATAATGGGTATACACCTAATAGAAGTAGGGGTGGGCATGATTTGAGTTGGGTTGGGTCGATTTTTATCCTCTATCCACTTGATCATGGTTTCTCACACTCCACTTGATCATGGTATCTTCACATGGGATTCAAATGTCACTCTCCACATCCCCGATACAAATCACCAATGTACCCATAGGCATCTATATTTCATCTTACCAATAGACATACAACACACTACAAATGCATCTTAACCCACTATGCATGTAAATAATTACACCTAGTAATTAAATTGCTCTTAAATTCATGCAAATGCACATATCAAATACATTGAAATGCACATATAACTATGTAACAGAATTAACCAATTACATTAATGCAGAAAAGATTACATACGGATGCACATGCAGTTAGGTTTACTATCAATAAACCTATGTAGGGTTATCACTCGACCTTATATCCACATTCGTCTCGTCTCTCATCTTGTCATTCTCCTTATCCTTCTTCTTGGGACAATTCTTAATAAAATGCCCCGTCTTTCCATAATTGTGACATCGTCTACCACTAGACTTGTCCCATCTCTTGCCATTCTTCTTACAACTCTCATTACTCAATTCACTACTCGAATTACTATTGTCTTGAGCTCTACCAAAATTCATCTGCTTAAACTTCACTTTACTCCTCATCATATGCAATTCACCACTTCTTTTATCCTTTTTTTTTCAGCTTTAATCTCTATTTCTTTACTTTTAAGAGAATCTATGACAATCTCGGGTGTTAAAATGCCCCTACCAAATTTAATTGAATTCTTAACCTCTTTATATGAATCAGACATAGAATTCAACAAATAATGGTCTTATACGTTTCAGAAACCTTTTCATCACAATTTATGATATCAAGAATAAGTTTATTAAAAATATCCAGATTGTTATCAAGATTTTTCGAATGATTCATTTCAAAATTGACAAATCTTTCAAGCAAATACAATTTATTAGGAGTAGATTTAATCAAATATAAGTCCTTCAACTTTTGCTAAAGTTCTTTTGTACAATCAAGTTTTTCAATTTTTCTCAAAAAAGTGTCAGATATGTATAAATATAATTGAAGTGTAAACAAATTCATCAAATTCTTTTTTTGTATTTCTGTCAAATTTGCAGGAAATTTGCCATATGACTTTTGAAACTTTTATTGAACCAAAATTACTTTCATCTTTTATTGCCAAATTGAAAAATCATCTTTCCCATTGAAAATTTCTATTTCGCACCCACACGCGCCACACCCCGAGGATCGTCTCCATCTGCACGTCTCAAGTCCTGTCTCCTTTTCACTAATGGACCTCTGGATTTCCCAAAAATCGAGTTTACAGGTCCGATTTTTATGAGAAAATCTAGGCAGATTTTTTATCTGATTTCTACTCCAATTCTGCTAGTTTTTGGATCTGTTTTTGACTGAAAATCCACCACAAACATGACTCTGATACCAAATGTAGAGAGTATTGATATTTGATTACTGGAATTCGAACTTAGTTTATCAATCTAACCGAAACCGACCAACACAATTAACGATCTAAGAACCACAATTATTTGCCCACACTTCGGTTGCTATGGTTGCACTCACAAGCGAAACATAGTGATGGTGTTATTACAGCCACAAAGGTACCCACTCAAGCAACCACAAAGGCAAAAAAAAGAAGAAAACAGAATGAAAAAGACAATGGAAGAAACAACAAGTTTCTCTCTTTTTTTGAGGAAGGGAATAACACACTAGTGAACATCACAAAAATGGGTAGCAAATATATAGGGTACATTAGGTATAGAGAGAAAAATGCCAAACCTAAATCAATACATAGGCCAACACTTATAAGTCATCCAAAAGTGGGGAAATGGGTCACAAGCACCTTTAACTAAATTAGGCTACCTCCAATAGCCCAAATAGTTCTAGGTTTGGGTCATTTCATTGAGGTATCAATATTTCAATTCAGTCATTTTGTCAATGCCAATTGGATAATTTCGATTCAACATCATTACTTGGGATTTATTGGGTATCAAAACCCACCAAAAATCCATCTATGTCTAGGCAAGTGTTTTTCGACCAAACATCTTGGTACCTACTATGCTAATTGTTAAATCGTTTTATTTTAGACTTTATGTTATTACAATGAGAGTGTATTGGTTAGGATGTAAATTAATAATGAGATTTTTGTTAATCCACAGGTTGATGGACTCGAGGCAAACCACGACACATCTGCGAAGAAGGAGGACTCCTTGTCTTCTGATATGTTACTTAATCTTGATTTTACCTTAGGAAGGCCAAGCTTTCAAATGGACCACTCTAAATCCTCCCTTCTCAAGTGTTGAAATTTATAATAGATTTGCCTAATTATGTGCTCAAATAGCTAGGGAACATCTGTAAGATAGACATATGCTTCCTTTTTGTATTCTCTGAGGAACTGGAAAGTCAAATTATGGGCAGAATTTAGCCAAATATTAGATGGTGGACTAAGGAACTTAGCGGGATCTAATAAATTAATTATGTGTCTGTTTACTGATACTTTTCTTTCAATGAAAATGTTATATCGTGATCATTCCATGTTATATTATTTAGTACGAGCTAAGGTCATCACGCACGAAAAGAGTTTGTTATATGATGTGAACATTAAACGATAAGAACAATAGAATGGATTTCATTTTCATATATTTAATTGAACATTACATCACATAAACTCGTGATCATTTCTAATGAAGATAAATAACATTGTTCATGAGAAAAATATGAGATCGATTTAGATTCTCGTTGATTCTGCAAAATGCCCAAAAAATTGACCATTCTTTGATTCGAAGAGAGAGAGAGAAAAAAAAAACTTGACAAGATTATAGGTTACCATGAAGAAATCTATCACCTTATAGTATTACTTGACAATATTTGAATAAAAGTTGGGGATTTCTGTTGTTATTCTTCAAAAATATTTGTGGTCCGTTTGCAATGTGCTTGATGGTTTTACATTTTTGTTATTCGAGCAGCTCTCGTAATGTAAAATTTCACTTGTTCATTCTCCATTTTATATTAGGCCTACAATCTAATTTTTGACATTGTGCTCAGCAATATTTATGAATCATGCTACTTGTACAGGCGGCCATTTTGCTACCCCCCAATGGCAGGGGGACACCTGTCCCCTGTACAAGTGGGGAAATTCGGAAATTTATTTTGTAGCATTTTTGACAAATAGAAATGGCTATATATTTATCGAATAATGGGTTAAAATGGCAGCACATACGTGGATATTTTATTTATCTTTTTTCAAATTGTCCAATGATACTGCGCCATATGCCCCACTATTTTTTAATCGTCATTGAGTATGTTTGTGTAGCATGATTGATATTTATCTTCGTGAGTAAAATATTAAATAAATCAGAGAATTATTTTTGGCCCACAGATACATCTTACTGAGCAGCTGCAATGATTCTCCATATTTTATTTTCCTGAAGTCCAAAAAAAAAATGTCAAAACGCCGTGATAAATGCTTTGTGCCTTTGACTTGTGGATATTACTCCCCAGGATGAAACTGGAGAACCTCAGAATGTGTGGTGTTTATCAATATCCTTAGCCACTTCGCAATGAACTAGATTCTTGAATGCCATGCGTCTTGCCAATAAGCTGTTCTAGATTCTGGTATGATTCATGCTGATTCCCCGTTGTTCATGGTGAAATTTGCTTATAAATTGAGTTATAATTTATCATTTTTAAACATGTTCATTGAATCATTTCTCAATTGAAGTAATGGATTGTTTTTCACTGTTAATAACTGTTGGCTTGTTTGTTTCCTCGATTTTTCTTTATTCTGCATGGAATGGTAGAAGAAAGAAAGATAAAGGTGGCAACTTGGCTAGAAAAGCGCCTGAACCGAAGGGTGCTTGGCCAATTCTAGGCCACCTCCACTTGTTGGGTGGCGCTAATCAGCTTCTGTATCGAACTCTTGGTGCTATGGCTGATGAATACGGGCCAGCATTCAATATACGCCTTGGTAGTCAACAAGCTTTTGTGGTGAGCAATTGGGAAGTAGTGAAAGAATGCTTCACTGTAAATGACAAAGCTCTTGCGAGTCGGCCTATGACTGTTGCTGCTAAGCACATGGGCTATAATTATGCAGTGTTTGGGTTTGCTCCCTACAGCCATTTCTGGCGTGAGATGAGAAAGATTGCTACATTTGAACTTCTTTCGAATCGGCGCCTTGAAATGTTCAAGCATGTTCGAGTTTCTGAAATCGACATGGGGATCAAGGAGCTATACAAATTATGGATACAGAATGGATCTTGTCCATTGCTTGTTGAACTTAATCGATGGCTTGAAGATTTGACACTGAATTTAATTGTTCGTATGGTGGCTGGAAAACGATATTTTGGTGCTGGGAGTACATGTGATGATACAGAGGCAAGGCGATGTCAAAAGGCGATTGGCGAGTTCTTCCATCTAATTGGGATTTTTACCTTATCAGATGCATTTCCAAATATGCGGTGGATGGATTTTCAAGGGCACGAAAAGGCCATGAAGAGGACTGCCAAGGCGCTCGACTCCATTCTTGAGAGCTGGCTAGAAGAGCATCGCCAAAGACGAAAATCTGATGAAATTGAACCAACGAGCAACGAGAACGACTTCATTGACATAATGTTATCCCTACAAAAGGAAGAGCGACTTTCTGGTTTTCAATACGATTCAGACACGAGTATCAAGTCTACTTGCCTAGTACGTATATAACCCCCTATGTTTTAAAACTCATTTTCAACTACATGGACTCACAATTTTTATTAACTTTTCTTGGTTTAGTTATGCATCTAGGCACTTGTTCACAACTTTTATCGATGGACTAATATTTTTATTGCTTGTGTAATTATGCGTCTAGGCACTTATTCTTGGTGGGAGTGACACATCCGCAGGCACACTAACATGGGCTATTTCATTACTCTTGAACAACAAAGATTTGCTGAAAAAGGCTCAAGAAGAAATAGATTCTCATGTTGGGACAAAGAGACAAGTCGATGAATCAGACATAAAAGACCTTGTGTATCTTCAAGCCATTATCAAAGAAACCCTAAGGTTATATCCAGCAGGTCCACTTCTAGGACCCCGTGAAGCTATGGAAGATTGCACCATAGCTGGCTATAACGTTCCCGCAGGCACTCGGTTGATAGTAAATGTATGGAAAATCCAAAGGGATCCAACAGTTTGGAACAATCCATCTGATTTCAAACCTGAAAGATTCTTGACTAGCCATATAGATGTCGATGTAAAAGGCCAGCAATTTGAACTTATTCCCTTTGGCTCGGGGCGGCGTTCGTGTCCAGGTGCATCGTTTGCTCTCCAAGTTTTGCATCTCACTCTAGCCCGTCTCCTCCAAGCTTTCGACTTTGCTACGCCAATGAACCAGCCAGTTGATATGAAAGAAAGCCCTGGTTTAACCATACCGAAGGCAACGCCATTAGAGGTTCTCCTAACTCCACGCCTATCGACCGGGCTCTATGTTGAAGGGTGCATTGCTTGATCTTATTGATCTTCCTCTATTTCCAGTTTGTCGAAAATAACAGCCGATGACGATGTGTGTATATGGAATACATCAGATCGGCAATTGTTAACAATAAGGAAAAAGAAATTGCTAAACACATTTTATGATTACATCACATTTTAATTTATTTTTGGACGAAAATCGTGATTAAGGATGATATTTGCTAGTTAATACAAGGTTAAAGATAAAAGTACGGTAAAAAAAATTAAAATAGTTCCGTCAAATGGGTCCTAAATTGATTTGAGTGTCGGAAGACATGCAGTTGGCTGAGTAATTCAGTTCATAATGGCATGATCTTGATGCCATCACAGGTCCACATGTCATGTTTCAGCTTTTCAAGTAATAATTCCAATCACATGCCCTTTGTGTGTGACCAGTTGTGAGATCACTTCATCTTCTTTCCCATAAACTAAGGCACTGTAAATTAGGATTCATCATGAAATCTCATCCGCTCATCAATTTCCATGAATCTCTTTCATGGACTTGTATGCATGTCCATATATGTATGGGGTATGGCTGCGAGGGCATTGGTCCAACTATATTTTGTGATGGTACCCTTTCTAGACAAGAATTGAAATGGATTTGACATGTCAATAAAAAGGGACCAACACATAGGGCAAATCGAACAAGTCTAGACACATGCTAGCGAAAATTTCAAGGAAATAAGAAAAATGAAATTTCTTGCTAAAACTAAAAGCCCCAACCTAGGCTGCTAACTTAACCCCTTTTACGCTTCAAGCTTCGCCTCACCATCAATTTCTCCACCCTTGTCGATTATTGTCACCTCTATTTGTTGGCATATATTTACATTTTTAACTTTCATTTATTTTAAAATTCTCATGCACCTATCTTAACGTCTTATTTTATGCTATGTTCATATATTTATAAAGGTGTTGTTTGAGGCTTTAACACTTTATTAAAGCATTGTTCTTGACTTTTCTTTTAAGTGAGAAGATTGTAGCCCTTAGATCATGATGAGATCGGATGGTTAAGATTGATTCATATAAATAGATGAAACCTAGCACATTTCATAATCAAACTTTAATTCTTGGTGAATGAGTTCCTCCTCTTCTTCGTGGTTCGAAAGATTGAGTCTCTTTGTGTTGGATTTGAGAATGGGCAAGAGAGTTGAAGGGTTTTGGGTGTGTAGGATTTAGGTAAAATTGATCCCTAATCTTTCTAGATACATCTTTAATGTCGAATTGAACTTTTGTACAGATTGTAGTCGATTTGGAGTTGAAATTTGTATTAAAACCTTCAAGAGTGTGGGTAAAATCTTCCACTTGCTACTGAAAGGACGTTCTATATACTCATTTGAATTCGCCCCCATGGCACATCTCCAAGTGGTAAAAAGGGAAGGTGGAAAAACTCCAACTTTGCTTGAGACTGTCGCGTCAAGGGTTCGAATCCTAAAATATGGATTTGGCCATTGGGCAAGTGCAAGTGCACAAGTAGCCTTCCACCCTATACTCTTGGAGGCATAATCTGCGATTTAACTCTTTCACCAAGGCCTAGGACAGGGCGGCGGGGGCCGTCAAGAATGCGGCTCATCCTTTATATACTCGTTTGAATTCTAGTAAACCTAAATTATTGAAATAACTCCTATAATGTTGTAGCTTGTGAATTGAGGCTAACTTTATTTTAGATATATCTCGTAAGCTTATAACTAATATGAAAAGATTTTAAGAATTTGCATAGTGCAAGTCTACGTTAAGTGGGTGTTTGATGTAAATTAAAATTAGATTTTTAATTGATTATGACATAAATTTTTGAAAAATGTGATTGAAAAGCTGTGAGATTCATGAAAGATGTAATTAATATTGATTGTTTAATTTTTATTTAAATTAAAATATGATTTTAATTCGAAACAAAAATGACCTAAGAGAGTATTTTTCTACGACAATAATATATTTGAAACTTTTTCCCGGTTTCACTCGCCACAACTCGGACAGGAAAAAGAAAAAACTTCGAATTCCGATTTTACCCTCGTACAATTCTGACAAAACGCCAAATCGGATTCCACAAAACTCCACACAATCATTTCTCTGTTCAGACATTTTTCAGCTCTGCTCGTAAACTCACTGACAATTTTGACGTCACCCGATATTCCACCCAAAACTCCAAGGAACAATTAACATGCCACCACGTCGCGTTGAAGAAACTTCCCGGAGTATGATCGTGGCTGTGAAGGCAGAGAAGGTGATATCTAAAACTGCGTTGTCTTGGGCCATCACACACGTGGCGAGGCCCGGCGACTGCATTCTTCTCCTCGCCGTCTTCTACGAGAAGATGACTGGTAACTCACCTTAACACTCGAAATCATCAATTTTGCTGTGTAATTACTGGTTAATTCAAAGTTGTAAGTACTAACTCGCTGAGTAGGAATTTCATGCACGTAGTAAGATCTTGTATAGCTTTTTTGACGCAGATTGTGTGTGTTAACGATAATCAGAATTATTTTATTTAAACGGTAAATTGATAGTTCTATTTTTTTTATTTCCAGGCGGGAGAAGATTTTGGGGATTTCCGAGATTGAAAGGCGACCGTCGGGGTAGTGACCGGAATAAGTTACCGGATAGGATCGGACAGATCTCGGAGTCTTGTTCTCAGATGGTTCTCCAATTGCACGGTCAAATTCAGGTACGTAATAATTTTTACCTTTTTGGTGGAGCATTAACAACTTTTCGTGGTTTATTTGGTGATTTGGCATTCATAAAAGTCAAAAGCTCACTGCTTTAATTTGAAGGGAAATCTTTTTGACTGAAAACAATGTAGATATAGTGCTCAATGTAAAAGGAAATCAAATAAAGCAATTAACTTTTGCTTTACGTAATACGATACGAATTTTTAGGAATCGAAGCAAATTACTGTATTTTAAAATCCACTTTTTTTACTTGGGGGGATTCGTTCCTCGTCATTTGAATTTAAAGCACCTACTTTTCTACATAAGAAAGGAACTAATTTGATTATAGAATATTTGATAAAATAAGATTTTGAAGAGAGAATTCTAAGATTTTTTATATTCAGTGTCCAGTATCAAAATTCAAATAACTGAAATTGCAGTCCATTTTAGGAACGGCCAAAACAATGCAACAGTGCTGTATTGACTAACAGTGTCTAATGATATAAAAGAAATGTGTCCTGACGAAGAATGAAATAAAGTAACTGTAATTTAAAAATGCTCCTAGCCATAGCACCGTGTACCTTTCCCTTCCTCGATGCAGTGAACCCTTCTTTCATCTAGTGGAACCTGCTTTGTATAGGTTGCGGAGTTGCTATGAGGCAATGGAGCAAGAATGATTTTTGCGCAGTTATTGGGCGGCCAGAGTCCCAGCCTCTCCACGATATGAAGGAAACCCATTACGGCTAACTGTCATTACCATCATTTTTTGGTCTCATTTGTTAATTCGTTTCATTAGTCACATAAATTAGTTCAGCACTTATTTAATGATCAACCCTTTGTAGATTTCGTTTAAATGAAAAGCGAAGTGAGAAAGTCATGATATGGTGATTTGTCATTATAGCTATTGATGAATGCAACATTTTTCTCTTCTTACTTTTTGGTGAACAAGGAGCAATTCTTTATCTATTGAATTGAACCAACAGTTAGCATAGCGGAACCTGGTATGATGAACTAAGAAAAAACTGGGTTATGCGAAACTAGCTTTCTAAGAGTTGTTGTTGGTTGTAGGTTGGAGTGCAAATCAAGGTTGTCTCAGCTCTATCTGCAGGTTCTGTGGCAGCTGAAGCAAAGAGGAATACAGCTAACTGGGTCATATTGGACAAGTAAATAAACGTAAATATGTTATTTCTTTCCTCTGATATATTGCATCTTAAGAAAAAAAATTCCACAGAGACTGATATAATCAACAGTTTTTTCTTATATTAACTTTTTCCTTGAATTTGGATAGAGCTAACGTTTTGTGTGTACATTTGATTACCACTTTAATTGTAAAGATGATTAACTCTTCATAGATAGATCAGGGGGTCAGTTGTAAATAATTTTCTTTTACATCTTTATTTATTTATTTTCCTTTTTTTGGCAAGCAACATTTTCGCTTCTATGTTGAATCTCACTTTGTTATATCTGCCAGAATACTAATAGATCAACTAAGATGTAGTATTATTATACTACTTTCTTCTTATTGTTGTTTCCTTAAGACAGGAAATTGAAGCGAGAACTCAAGAATTGCATGGATGAGCTGCAGTGCAACACTGTAATCATGAAGGGTTCAAGGCCAAAAATTCTTCGACTCAATCTGTCATGCTCAAATGATC